GAGGGCAAATGCACCATCCTGTCACGTGGTCACACATTCCACCATTATAACAAGCATCGCATACCCCGGTACAGCGAGGTGGATTCCATCGACCAGTCGGGCAACCTAATGTGAAAGGAAGATGTTGATATTTGAATTCAATAATTTCCTTTTGAAAAGGGCACCAACCGCTTATTTTCTGGTAATGCTACATCTTTGATTGCAGCGAATATCATGCAAGCTGAAAGAATATTAAAAATACAATTTTATTTTACCATTCACAAGAAATATTTGAATAGTCCAACAATCTAATCCATTCTTAAACTCTTAAACAAAGTACCTTTCACACATGTTCAGGGCAATCGACCAAAAAGAAACCACACATTGCGGCAAACTAAATTGGCATAAAGACAGGTGCATTAAATAATATTGTGGATATAACAACATAGAGAGAAAGCTTTTTTAAGGAAAATTTGTGGCATAAAGACCCTTTTCATATTATTGTGCCATACTTTGAATGTTTTTCTTTATTCGAGGTGATAGTTGATAGTTTGCTTCTTTGTCTAATTGAATTATTTATTTTTTGTCTGGGTTTTGGCAAATTACCATGTCAGGTCTACACAAGGCCTTTCACGTGTATGCAAGATTAATATCTCATCCTTAATCATAATCATAATCATAATCATAATTATAATACCTCGGACAATGAGCCTCACGATGCCATGGCGAGCCTGATTCCTCTCATTTGCATAAAAGCATTCATATACGCCAGCAACGGTCTCTGTGATTGGTCGCCTAAATGTGACACTGGCCAATCCCGACATGTCTTCTATAACTTCTTGTCCATTTCTACGCCATTGAACCTGATTGGTCAGAGCGTCGGCAGGGCTGCGAAGGGTCATTGCTAGTGTCACATCTACGTCACCAAGGCTGACTGTCTTCGTAAATCTTCCATCGGTGGGAATGATTTTCGCTGAAGCAAAATAAGATGAAAGCTATTAAAGTATTCCAATTAATAACATCAAATGATAACTTAGACTTGAGTAGAGCGTTTTTCCTTATCATGATAGTTGTCGTGTATACTGTATTCATTATTTCAGGACGGTTAATTTTAACATTGTTTGAACTTGTAAACCTGCATTGGCTTCGCACAGGAAACAATTTCTCCATTTGGAAATAATGTCGACATGTATTTCCTGACATGTATGAGTATCTGTATATACGAATGTAAAAAAAGAATGAATTTTCTTTTATTTGCTCAGTGAGAATAATTCAGTCAATAATATATATACTTATCTGTGAATGAAACGAAAAAATTTCTTGCAAGTATTGCGCGCCTCAAAAAATATTGCAGTTATAAATATTACACATGGTAAAATAGATCCACAATTTACATTTGAAATAAGCTTTGAAAAATCAAAAGAGTATTGTCACAAAGTCCCCCTTCTCTAAAAAAAAATTGCAATAACATTGGCTATCTTAACTGTGTTTCTTAACACAGACTTATTTCTCAAAAATAGCATGTGGTATTTGAGATTTCGATAACCATATACAAAGGGAAATGATCATTTAGAAACACCCGCGGTCCGAGAGGATCTTGGGGGAGGGGCTTGCAAGGGCGCATTTACGTCAAACTAAATCAAATCAGATCAATTCAATTTACTGAAATAGATTCCAAAATTTTCCGATATTTTCATCATAAATTACATACACAAATAGGGATTCGTCAAGTTTACATTAATATGCACCTACAAAAGGGAAAGCAATTACACAGTCTGTAATAATCATCAATGTCCTAGTAATGGAAACAGGTTAAAGTCAACATATGGCTCGCTTATATTTAATCAAGTCTTTTTAGGGGGTCTTGATATTCATATAACTTTTTTGTTGAGGGGGAGGGGGGGGGCTTGAGCTTGAGCTCCTAAAGCCCCCTTTTAGAACCGCTTTTTAAACGAATGTTCAAGGTATTGCACTGTTTACAACTCCATGCACTTGAAAATTCACTATACGGAAGTGCACTGACTACTCATGGCTTTACCTTTGATCAGGTGTTGATGGCATTAGAAGGAAAGAATAACTTTGAACTTTCATAACCTCCTACGCGCGGGCCCTAAAAGGTGCAAAGATAAAATCTATGGAAGTGTCATTCCAAGCATTTATCAGAGGGCTTTTTATTCAGTGGCGTAGCGTGATCCAGGCATTGGGGGGGGGGGGCGCTGACGTTTATGGGGAGGGGCGTTGGGCTTACTACGTGGATGAAACGCAATGTAACAATGTCATCGAGTATTAAAGGGAAAAGGGATTGTATCGAGTTATTTTCACGACACCAGTTCTTCCTCTCTCTCTCTCTCTCTCTCTCTCTCTCTCTCTCTCTCTCTCTATCTATATCCCCTCTCTCTCCCCTCTATCTCTCTCCCCCTCTGTCTCCCCCCCCCTCTCTCTCTCTCTCTCTCTCTCTACATTCTGTTCCCCTTCTCTCTTACTCTTTTGAATGTGGGGGAGGGAGGGGAATATTCCTGTTCCATCGTGCTCCCCTGGCTACGCCACTGTGCCTGATTATATTTTAGATATAAAAAGTATAAACCGCAGAGTTCATTGAGAGGTATGCAAAACCGTTACAGCAAAACAGAACAAGTATGATTTTTGGAAGCAGATTTGTCTTTAACTATAAGGTGTCTCAACAAATTACGTAGACCATGTTTGGTGTACCGAAATATTGCAGTTTCGAAATAGTTCTACTGAGTAACGAAGGAAAATTTACAAGATTGCATCAAAGCGTCACAAGAAACACTGCTCCTCGATGTGGTCCATATTTTTACGCTACTAATTATTTTGTGTGGTGGTGATGGTTGATGATGTGATGTTGTTTTTTCTTGTTGACGTTATTTTTGTTGGTTGGGGGGTATCGACTGCCTTATATATTGAGAGTTCTATTTCATATTCAATCCCACAAAAGATTAAATTTCTTAACATCGAGGCGGAAGGGTGTCAATTCATATGCGTATCCATTAATTGCTAGGCGTGTGTGTGGTGGGGGGGGGAGAGGGGTAAATGTATCATGTCAGCCTTATGTGCAGTCGATTTCTTTTCCTTGGCCTGCATATGGTGGTATAGGGGTTGGCAATTTGGGAAATAATTGAAACTGCAACGTTTATAAGTGAGAGTACAATATTTTCCTCATCCGGCTATGTAAGTCACCGGAAACAGAAACGCGAACATTATTTCCTCCAACGTCATGATGGCAGAAAAGAGACGTCAACCCGACAGTGAACTATAAGCACTTCAATTTTTTCGAAAGTACACTATACCACACATACACGCACACACACCCACATACTCGCACACATACGCACACGCATCCAACGTCTTTGCATACCCATACACAAAGTATTAGGGTTAGGGGCGAGTTTGAAGTATGGATTTTGGCATAATCTTGTTGGCTCAAATCCGAGTCCCTCGGATAGGAAATGAAACCATAGGATCACCACCACCATTATTGTTGCGTACCTGCAAGCAGAGCATCGCATTTCTAGTATTAATGTTAATGAATTATCTATCAAACAATCACATCAGCTGATTAAGAAAACTACAGAGCACAGGGAAAATCAAATTTGATTATCTGGTCTTCTTATTAAAAGTGATAAAAAGTCATAGATCCTCCAAAAAGGTCATTTAGGCAATATAATTAGTTAAGGTATTCAGTGGACACGTTAATTGCAGTGAATTAGTTTCGGGCCAGAATGATAATGCCACCGAAATAAGACTGCAGTATGCCATTAAACACCAAACAATTGTCAAGGTTTCAGAAAAACATTTTGATTCGATACAAAAAGTCCTTTATCCAAATGCGTTTGTAGTAAATTCCCTCAAATTTCGGTCGACAAAATCCCGGTCGTTATCATGAGATGTAGGGAAGGTAGAGTTCAGGGATGATTATTTTGCCATTAAAAACGGTTACTGCGAATGGATACGGTTTGTTCAGCAAAGTATTACCAAAACGAAAATATGAAGAGAAGGATCTCGTTTATAATAAAACAGTGTTAGCGTTGACAACATGTTCCAACGAGGAGGAGATTGCTACCTTCACTGACAAGCAATGCTGCCGGTGGTGGTGGTGGTGATGATGATGATGATGATGATGATGATGTTGAGGATGATGATGTTGATGATCATAATGATGATGGAGATGATAATGATACAAAGGTAATGTTGATGACAACCATAATTAAGTTGGTGATGGTGATGGATGTTTTAGTGGTGGATGTGGCCGCAATGTTGATGATGACGATGTGTTGTTTTTATACTCTCATCATGACATTTTGCGTTTTCTCTACATGTAAACAATCCTTAAAGCATTTTTTTTAATTTGAACTTCCTTTTACAAATGGTTACAGCATTTTCATAATCACGTACGACCTATGTTTAAACCATTTCTCCGATATCTTTACTTATTATTTTTAAAACTATTATCAACAGGATAAATGGATGTGCCTAACAACAATATAAACTTCCAGACACAAAATGAAATTAACGGAGCATGATGTTGATGTATTTGGAAACAACATGAATTTGAACTCACACAAGAAGGTTTCTACTCCTTCAAAGTTTGCGTGAACTTAATTTGTTATAAAGGGTTAGAGGGGGTGGGCGCACATAGATGATAAACATCTTTATAGGTTGAAAGGGTTTATTTGACGCGTTCATCATATCATTTATGACTCAGTTGTAAGTTTTAACAGATTGTAATCGTTACATTCAATATCTTGATCTGTGCATGGTGGTGAGGAAAGACTGATAATGCTTATAAAACAGGAAAGGGAATGAACAGATTAGAAGCTTCATGATGTCAAGGTTACGTGTGACGTACACGACCATGGCCCACGCCTAATTCTGTCAGTAGTTTTTCTTTTATCTTTGGTTGAGGGAGGGGGAGGGGGCTTTATTGATTAAAAGTTAAATTGCATGATTATTATTTATTTAAATGTTATAGCTATCCAGGGATATACCCCCTCCCCCAATCGATTAGCAACGTAATTTTATAACAATAAAAATGAGAGAGAGAGAGAGAGAGAGAGAGGGGGGGTGGAAAGCGGGGACAGACAAAGTGAAGTGAGGAGAAAAGCGTTAACGAAAAAGCCCGAGAGAGTGGGGGGGGGGGGGGGGAGGTCATATCTAAAACTCAACACTGTCAAGAAATCCTTAACTTCCTATGGTGTATACAATGTACTCACGATTTGACGTCAGAAAGACCCCAACCACTGTCGTAGTATCTTTGCCAGGCTGCGATCCCTGGCAGTAGAAGGTCCCAAATCCACCTGTACCACTGGTAGTCAGGTCCACCGCCATACCATGACCTCCTAGTCTACGCCCTTCTGGAAGGGACCACGCCCCTACTGTGCCCCCATCTCCAGTCTGAGAATATCGGCCTGCAATGATAGTAGCCGTTTGGTCAAACTTACTGTTTAAAGCCCCAACATGGCCAACACATTACATGATCCAACGAAGATCCGATTTCGAAAGACATTGCAATATTATTAACCCAACATTATTGACCTAGTGCTGTTTAGTGTCACCATTAAGCAAGATTTGGCATCAACTTTTGATTACTATGAATTACACATACACTACATTAGAAAGGGCAAAAATCGGAGTGAAAGGTCCTTTTCTGTCACAGTATATTGTGCCATTTATGAAAAAGAACGTTTGAAATTTAAATTTGGCAATAAATTCTATATATTGGCAAAGTAAAAATCACTCTTTATGTGTACATTTTTTGTTGTTTGTGGGTTTATTCAATATACCAGTTGACTTAGACAAAAATAGATCAAGTAGTCGAAAGGTGTCTGAATTAAAGAGAGAGAGAGAGAAAGAGAAGAGAGAGAGAGGAGAGAGGAGAGAGAGAGAGAGAGAGAGAGGGAGAGAGAGAGAGAGAGAGGGAGAGTGATGGAGATGATGATGATGATGATGATAAAGATGATGGCGATGAAGAAGAAGAATAAGAAGGAAATAGAAAGTATGCAACAGAAAAGATGAATCGGGAGGAGGAGGAAGAGGAGGAGAAGAAGAAAAAGAAAGAAAACACTAAAACATGAAAAAGTAGGACAGCAATAAGGTTTTTTAAAAAGGAGGAGAAAAAGAAGAAGGAACAGGATGAGAAGATAGGGAAGATATGAGGAAAAAGAAGAAGAACAAGAACAAGAAGAAGAAGAAGAAGAAAAAGAAAAAGAAGAAGAAGAAGAAGAGAAAGAGAAGAAGAAGGAGGAAGAAGTGTGATACCTGTTGAGAGAGTCGATCTTCCCACGTCTGGCTGGCTGAGGTAACAGCTGAAGGATGAAGATCCCTGGTCCACCCTAACGGACTCACCATCCTCATCGTAACACGTACATAATGATCGGGGCTTAGAATAGGACTCAAAGTAGTTTGGACTCGTTCCGTACCTAATGAGAGGATGGAAGAGAAGGTTGAGTTTTAAGAAAGATAAAAATGGTTTGTTAGTTTTTAATTCTTTTTAAGTTAGTGCGGAAGAATATCCAAGAAAAAGTGTATCCTAAAAAGTATTCATCTTCAAATAAAATTAATATCTTCTTAGATCAAAGAAGATTTATTTGTAATAATTGGTCAAGAAAGTTCCGGGAAGATAATAAACTGTATCTATCAAGAATAAATCATATGGTCACAATCATGAGATAACATTATTTTTTAGTACTCTTTTAATCGACGTTGTTACAATTTATTAAAAGAATCAAAATGTTCAAATGAAAATCATGATTACACGAAATCTAAGGGTTTGGAAATAAAACTAAAAAGTAAAACGTAGGCTAAATTGGCCTCATTTAATATTTCAAATGACAAATACACGAATGACAATGAAAAGTAAAACTATCTTTGAAAGCATTTTGCATTTAATAGCATCATAAAAAACACGAAAAACTGATCAAACTTCTTTTACGTATACAATATATCATTGACTTAATATTAATCCAAGAGATTAAGAAATGGTGTAAAAACCGATTTATTCTTATCATGAAAGGTCTGTTCTGCACTTCTAATATGACAATTAGTTTTCAAATTAAATCTGAAAACAAGAAGAGAGGGCGAGTTGTGATTTCACTAAGCAGATGACAAATTATGATAACAAATTAGTTTCCCAAACGAAATAGCACCAATGACAATCAAGGAAAGGGAAATGAATTACGTTGATCCGTAGCTAACTAGTTAAACAATCAATCATGTTTCTTTGAGAGTTTTTGGAAGTTCCCACAAGTTATGATACAAATTGATAATTTTTCCAAACATAACGTAATATCGAAACTTGAAAATAAACCGTTGATGACTCACTAGGACTCACACGCGTAGTAGCAACCACATTTGTCGGCTCCACCGGAAGGGGAACCTGGCGTTGTTTTGGCTGAACCGGAAGTGCAACCACTGTTTGCGTCTCGGCGACGGCAGGCTCAGGGATGACGTAAGGGGAGTTCGGAAACGGGAAGACGGGACCAGGGTTCGCTGGTTCCGGAAAGACATAGCTTTGACCGTAGTCATGACTGGGCATTTGCTCATCGGGAAGAGGATCAGCGTAGTCTGAACCCTCGGCCCAAGGAAAATCTGTGAGAATCAGTGAAAGACAGGATATTGAATGGTTATGTAATCGCTGTTTTCTAAATCTCACAGTCTTTTCAATTATTTGAACTTTGGCGTTCTCACGCTTTTTTTTTGTTGTTGCAGTTTTCTTCTTCTAGCTCTTGTTTTTGTCGCTCAATTTTTCATAATGATAAAGGATAGGAATCCTTGCCTGATAAATTTGACAACAACACCACTCTCCTTCTCAAACCCCAGTCACACAAATAAAACCAACACCAGACTGACAACAGTCCGATCAAATAGTAATATCACCCTCAATTACCTTGAATCGATCGGTTTGAACAGGAAGCTGTAATGAATGGAGATCCCGTCCAAGAGGCCCCTTTGAAGTCATCCGTGGCACCGCGCGTCTTTTGTTTCCCCTACCGTAATCCCCTTAATCCCCCTCCAAAACCTTACAGCTCCCTAGTAGCACTAAGTCCTCCCTTTCCACACACAGCCCCAGCCCAGCGAGCACGGCGGCTTTTGCTTTGCCGGCCCGTACTTTGGGTGAATAGTGGTGCTAACTTGACAACTTCTAGCCCTAAAAGCAATAAATGCGCAAACATATAACACAATTTCATTTAGTTCTTTAGGAAGATAAACCTTTGGACTACCTTCCTAGCTATGTACAAATTTCGGAAAAATGTCGGAAAATGTCAATAATTAGATGAGAAAATCATGATTATGAAAATCTTTCATTCGCTCTAACTCATGATTTCCTTGGTCGATTTCGCTGGTTAAAATGGCCATGTCTTCAGTAGAGCTATCCGAGAACGGAAAACGCATTTGATGACTAATAGAAAGTTGCATTGGTCATAATGTTGTGAATTCTGCATTTTATATGTTATAGCTAAATACATCTTTCATGAACATGACTTAATTTGTCGGTGCCACGCATGGCTTCAAAGCCCGATGCTTGCATATTTTTGCAAACGAGTGAATAGAGAACTTAGGGAAGCAGATGGCGTTGCGTAACATTTCGTACTATTTGGAATGCCAGAGAGGGACTGTGCATTGATATGGACAGCTGTAGATGGAAAATGATGGCTGGAGAGGGTTACATTTCTTTTTGTTAAGCCAGGTTAATCTTGAATAATTTTCCCTCGGAAAATTCTTTCGAGACGGTATCTCCATTCATTACAGCTTCCTGCTTGGTCATTGACACTGACTGCACAGACTCAGAATGTAATAGCTGCTACTTCGCTTCTTCGTATAACTCCCTCATAATACTCTATAAACATATGGAAAAGACTCTTTCGTCATGTTGCTCTTTTGTATTGTAGGGATTTATTTTTGAACTTCTTAACCCCCCTTCATACCATGATTCATCTCTATAGGTCATCCTTCATTCACATTCACCCTTTTCATCCACAATCCTTCCATCTATCGATCTCTCTGATTGGTTTCAATGTTCACCAGATGCAGCTTAAGTATAATGTACATATTCTTTGGATATTCAATATGTACCTTTTATGTTTGAATATTCAAGATACTTTGTGATGTTGATTTATACTTGTATGTGACTATATGAATATTATTTGTTTCTTTTAATTTGCATGGAATGTATGTGGAATGCTACATAGAATGCAATAATACATTTTGCACACATTAAAACCTGGTCATTTAGCCAGTAGTTATCAATCTGAAAACTGTCTGCTGGGCTGCCTCTGTGTTAAGAGTGCTAGGGATTATGTTAGAATCGCAACCCTACAGTATTATTATAAGACTATGTATTCTATGAGTATTCGTGTAGGCCTGCCTGCAGGCAAATTTCCTCTCCTAAAGGGCCGTATTGTGAAAATTTTAAAAACTACAGCTTTGAATGAACCTGTAGAGTTAAATAATAATCATTCTCTGTTATAACATATATATAAAGTGCTATAATAGGTAAGTACTGCTACCTCTCCAGTTTCGGTTTGTTTCCATCTGTGTGCTCAAACATTATATATATACTGTTGGTCATAATGGTGGAATCATTATTTTTACCCAATTTATGGAATGATTTTGAAATCATTTATTCCTAATAGATCTAGATAATAGTATAATTCTCAGATTTTATTGAATAATAATTATTTGTGAGTGTTTGTTTTGCGTGACTGCTAATGCATGTGTGTGTTACTATGCATATCAACTAGGAGACGTACGTCCTTAAGTCATAACTTACAGTAATGAGGATTAATGCCTCACAAAAGGGCACTAATATAGCACATCGACACATCGACTGTACGCAGCGGGGTTGGGGTACGCCCCCCAAATACAAAAAACAAAGAAAATGCAATAAATTATTAATAATTCATTAATTTTGCCCCGATCCCCAACAGAAAAAAATAATCTTCTGTGACCATGCCTTGAACCATATGCATGGCCCTAAAGAGGAATAACAATACGAAATGCATTAAGCAACGTCTAGCATAAAGGTCAAATCTCAACTTATATTGTGTTATTCTTCTTTTATATTTCAAAGCGTTGCATGGGATCTTAATCATGTTTTTTTTTTCTACATCAATGCCCCCATTTAAGCATATTTTGAATCTGATCAAGCTTCGAAAAGTTCGTGGCCTGGAACTTTGTTTCGGTTGATGGTCAAATAAAGAAAATGCCCTTTATTGATCAGGGACAGTGTGAAAAAAGCGCACAGTAGTACTTTCAAGAGTCCTGTCGTTTCATTTAAAGGCACTATGTCCCTTTTGCAGCCAACCTCAAATGCTGTAGAACTTTGCAGGAATTATGAATATGTCATGTATGTCCTATCTGTGAATTTAAAATAACGTTGCATGTCCTCGTATTCAAATTATGCAAGGAAACCCGTTTACTTGATAGACTTCACTGTCAGACACTATTGAGTGAATGACTGGTTTTTTTTCTTCTTTGGTAATAACATACATGAAAAGAGTTGTAAAGGGTACATGAGCATTTGTCTACATCAATAACCCACTTCTTGTGATGGCCAAGATTAAACTGACTGAATCTTTGCGCAGCATAAAACGTATGACCATTCGGTACAATGGTCTGAAAATCAAGACTTTTACTTTTGGGCTCTGTAGCCCTAAAGTCGATTTGACAACTAATAGTCATTATTTTCCCACTTGAAGACATTTTCAAACCCCCTTTTTGAGGGAAGTTCTAAATAAGTATTATCTTTCAAATGCAGTTGGAAATTAACTTTTTCATTTTTTTTTTGGCCTGCAAATGGGACATAGTACCTTTAAGAAAATAACCTCTCCGCCCCGGAACCCCGGCAATGTCTCTGCCAGGCCCCTCAAGCTGTGCCATATTGTACGGATCCATTAGAAAGCAAAATAAGCCCAATCAATGATTCGTATATATATATATATATATATATTTAATGTGTACTTGCATATAGAGAGAGAGAGATATATATATAGTTCTCCTATGCAAACTCCGGGAAATGCATAATAAATTCGTTTTCGAGGGTTGGCAATGAAAATAGATAAACAGTAGAAAAAGACCACGAATAAAGAAATAAACAGCTTGGTCAATTTGTTTTGAAGCATTATCTTCAAACACCCGGACTGTTTAATCTGTATTATCCTTATAAATAAAGTCTATAATCACTCTCAGATGGAAGATAATACCAATACGAATTGCAATATGCAACGTCTAGACATAAAGGTCGAATCTCAACTCTTTATTTTTCTTATTCTTCTTTTACATTTCGAAGCTTTGCATGGGATCTTAATCCTGTTTTTTCTACATCAATGCCCCCATTTATACTTTGAATCCGGTCACGCTTCGAAAAGTTTGTGGCCTAGAATTTTTTTCTTTTGATGATCAAATAAAGAAGGCACCCTTTATAGATCAGGAAGCTGCGTCTGCCTTTGTGTTAAGAGTGCTAGGAATTATGTTAAAACCGCACCCTACAGTATTATTATAAGACTATGTATTCTATGAGTATTCATGGTCTAATCTGGTTCTTTATATTTTTTTCATCTAACGAAATAACCTCTTTATTGATCATTAGGCCTGCCTACAGGCAAATGTCTTCTCCTAAATGGCCGTATTGTGAAAAGCACACAGTAGGAGCAGTGCAATTTAAATATCAAGGGGTGGATTAGAGTTTATTTCGTAAATGAAATGAAAGGGCTATTTTACTTTCAAGAGTCCTTTCATTTCACCTTAGAGATAATCTCTCTTTCTTTCTTACATTGTTATGTAACTAGTCAAGTTTGGCCCCATTTAAAACTCAATGATCTATTATATTAACTTAATCATTAAGAATCATTAAGAATAATCATTGAATAGAATAGCAAAGAAGTACTTTGGGATTTGCACTAACCTAGACAATTTTGATTGAATTTCGAAACTTTGAAACGCTACTATTACGACTACTCATATTATCGCTTATTTAGGAGCTCTAAAAACAAAAGTACCATTGCTCTAACAAAATCGCAGAATTCGAAGAGAAACTTAAAATGTCTACGTTATCAATTAACATTCCATTACAATAAATTTCGGCAATTTCACTCTCTTTTTAAGATATTGAATACAGAACAAAATGTTGATTATCAGAATGTCATTTTGGAATACCTCTATAAAAATACCCGATCTTACTGTGCCGATAGCACATTGTCTTTAGCCCGTATCAGTATTAGTATGAGCCACTATAAAGTTATTATTCTTTATTCAGTTCAGTATAATGCTTTTCCTCAAAAAATAGTTTCGCTATTTTTTAGGGTTGAGACGCTAAGAAATGGTTTCAAATGTACATTACACAAACCTGAACTATTGCATTATGATGGTGGTTCTCTCTCTCTCTCTATGTATTTTAATCATGCATTCTCAACTACATAGAAAGCAGCTAGCAACAAAAAACTTGAGGTTATCTGGGATAGGTGAAAGTGACAGTTAAAAAGAAAGTCATGTAAAAATGTCGCTTCACTTCCCCCCCCCCCCCTCAAAAAAAAAATAATAATAATAATTAGTGGTCCTCTTCTCCAGCATCCCCCCCCCCCTCGCTTATTCACCTGCCGGCTGAGTCGGCGCAAAAAAAATTCCCCAAAACTGGACCCCCCCCCCCCCTAAAAAAAAGAAAAAAGAAATGTGCTCTGCATGGAACGAAAACGAGTTGGACTGGTTCATTTTATATACAGGGGAAAGTCCAATATTGTTAGCATAAGTCATCAAATACTTCCTATTTTATTGTAAATTTGCATGTAAAATAGATTTGAATGTGATATTTTGTATCTATCATTTATATGATCTCATAATAAGCAAGACATATTTACGTCTTTTACCTTTTCTTACATGTTTTGATAATGAACAAATCACGAACGAAGCCAACTGGAAGATGGCCGTTCTGATTGGTCAATAAATCCAAAGTAATGAATAATTCATGCAGAGCAGTAAAATCTAGATTGCTAAAGGCCTCGTGGCTAGCGCCACTAGGTTGCGCGTTCACCCCGGGTATCTAGACTCATCTCAGCCGCTGTTTGGGGTGGACAATAGCCAGATCAAGTCACGAGGCCTAATTGTCAAAAGGCTAGCTAAACGGTGAATGGAGCCACCCTCATCCAGGCACCCCGACAAAGACCCACGCACCCAACCCGAACACTGACTATGAAACCGGTCCATTATGTTGCATATTTATTTTAAAAAACGGCTTTATGATACTAATTATGCGTAAAAACAGAGCAGAGGCAGGTTGAGCAGGGGGTCAAATTGGCAGGTGTTAGAATTACAAGGAAAATATATAACTGGGTGGCAAGAGACTTTCAAAGGGTCGATTCGTCACCAATAGGGTCATCGACTCATCGTTTAACATTAGCACTAAAGAAAAAGACCAGTTATGGTCATGCGATTGCATTGTGACAGAAACGTTTTGGATCATCTAGCATATATATTAATTTTGTGTGTACTGCATGGTTCTGGAATCATCAAAATGATAAGAAATATGGCCCAGTCTTGGTAAAGTTACAAGCACTGCACAGAAAGATGTATATGGGACTACGCGCCACGTGCGCGACACGTGCGCGATGTATATCAGGTCCAAATAGATATAATAATTCACCAAATATATCAATATAGTAGACGGTTTCTACGACGGCAAAATTTGTATCATCACGTATTAGTCAAAAAATATTCTTTCACATGATTGGTAATAAGAGCTTCCATCTCATTTTTTTTGAGGGGCGCGTTTCCAAAACTGATCTTTACCTTTAAACATAATTACGAATGACATTCGGTACAAAGGATTGTCTGTAACGACAGCGGTTGCTCCTCGGTACGCGTATAGGCGAATACCGGCCTGAGCGATTAAATCCAAAGAAATGATGTAATGGATGTGATGAGTCATTCATTATTGTGTGAAC